TCAAGCCTTTAAGACCCCAGACGCTATACTTTTTGATAGCCGGGCACCATCAGCTTTCTTCACCACATTTGCTTATGCACCCATTTGTCTTCGTTTGGTTCCTTCTTAAATTAAGCCATCCATTTACAAACTACTGATTTCTTTGGGGCATTGTCCCCATAAACGTTTTGTAACTCATCAGTGATTTCACCATTTTCCACCATAAATTTGATGTTTGCTCATGCTTCAATTTTAGCACAATTTGTGTTGCTCTGATGAGAGCTTTTTTCAAACGGATGTCTTATCCTTCTTAGTACTTCAAACTATATCTTCCTCAGACATATCATAACAAGCTAATACGAGTGTTTTAGAATAAAAATTTTTCAGATCCATGCATATTTTTCATAATACACATTTTCCCTGCATTTTTCAAATACCCTCATATTTATCTAAGCAAAATGTGAACCAGTGGTGTATTGGGACTACTGAAAAACTAATATGTCCATTTTTCTGTGTGGTAGGTAAGAGTAATAGTTCTCAAAAGATGTTCACCTCCTAATATCCAGAACCTAGGAATCTGTTACTTCAGATGGCAAAGGAAGCTGTACAACTGGCATGAAGTGAAGGATGTTGGATTATCCAGTGGTCTCAGTATAATCTCAGGGCTCTTTATAAGTGAAAGATGGAGGCGGGGGAGTCAGCGTTAGAGATGGGAGGAAGGGACAGTGATGAGGCCACAAGCCAAGGCTGTGGCCAGCCTCCGGAAGCTGGAAAGGGCAAGCAGACAGACTCCCTCCTAGAACTGCAAAAGGAAGGCATCACTGCCAGCCCGTTTAGACTTCTGCCCTTCAGACCTGTGAGCTAATAAGGGTTTGGTGTTTTAAGCCACTAAATTCACGATAATTATCACAGAATTAGGGAGAGAATATGGCTATATTCATGGTGACAGAGGTCCTACAGTGCACCAGATGGCTTATGTCTGAAATAGTAGGGTCAGTTGGGGGTTCTCAAAAGCCCACTGACCAAGTCAAATGCACACCAGACACTGAAAAGCTGGAATGCCATGTGGAAGTCTTTTAGCTTGAAGACTATTATGACCCAATAGTTGCCTTCGAACACACAAAGGGCGACCATGACTGCAGCCCCAGAGGGCAAATCTAGAATACATCAGTTGGCGGTCCTGGAAGATTCGGGTCATTCTGACAAGGAGCTTTACAACGATCAGAGCTGCCGACACAGGGAACGTGGTGCCCTTGAGCTCGTAGCATTCTAAACGGTCACCATCCAGCAGGATTGAAAAGGGTCTCCACAGGGGAAGTTGGTCAAGAAGACCCCTCTGCGGACCTGAACTCGACTAGTGGAAGACTTGGTGGTTCTAAGAAGACAAAGTGTATTTTCGCTGGAGGTGAAAATGGTCTCCTTTTGGCTAAGACCTGTCACTGAATCCCACGAGACAAGGGGAAGCAGTCATAGAAGTTCTTGCTTCTGTAGCTTGTGTCGTTCTCGGCCCCGTTTAAAACCTCCATGAGCATGAGCTCGCTTACGTGATCGTTCTCGGTATCACAGTTGATGTTCGGCAAGGGAACAAGGCCTCTGCGGTGGGGTCTCTCCTGGGAGCCTGCACCCTGTCTCACTCCTGCCCCCTCAGGCCCAGCCAGGCGCACATCCTTAAAACCAAACAGCATCCCCTGCGGAGCAGGAGGGTTAATAAGCTGGAGGCACGTGCACTGGATGTGGTACCTCACCGTAGAGAGCCAAGACTTCTTTAATGAAGGGGTTGGCCACAAGAGGGACGGAATAAAGCAGCAGCCTCTTTGGGTGAGAGAGAAGTATTGGCAGATGAGCATCTTCCACCTGGTCCACGTTTTTCAGCAGCAAAGCAAATGCCCCAGCTAGCACCCTCGAGAGCCCCACTCGCCTCTCCACACTATTTTCTCTGGAGGCGCTGGGTAAATGCTGCGGCTGGATTTGAAAGCAAAAGAGCAACATGTCAAATTCAAACAGGGGCCGCCTCCTCGCCTCCTCACACTTCAGTCCACAGCAGAGCCCCCTGCCAGCGCTTGGACTGCGCGCTTGTAGCCTTCGCTCTCCCGCAGCACCAGCCTGGGGAGGGAGGCCTGTGTCAGTTGCTTAGCACGTTCTCAGTCAGCGAGTCTGGACAAGGATCCACTGTCTCACACCCGGAAAGCGATTGTGGCCATAGCTACGCGTCAACATAATGTTGACTCGCTTGTTCACATTGTTCCTAAGCCGCTGCCTCCCCCTCCTTGTCTTGTCTTCCTGTGCTCCGTTTAATACTTGTGTGTTAGGTACTTGCTTTAATTCAGTAGTTTTGGGGGGGTTTTAAGGCGAGAGTAAAAGGAACCAGCGGACGCGAATGGACTGGCTGGTTTCGCTTTCAGAAAGGAATCTGTGTCCTTCTCTGCTTTTATCTTCCTGATGTCGAGACCTAGTGTTGACGACTGCTCTCCGTGTAGGATGGCAGCCGCAATAGATGGTCCCAGGGGGCGCTTCCCAGATCTCCCAGTCACCCCCAAATCACGTCAGATAAACACATAGGCTTAAGTAGAAGCGGGCATGGCTGCCCTCAGACCTCTGCCACCGCTGACTCAACCAGACTCCACACCCTCCTCTAAGACCCTCTGGGCTCCACACTGGTGGAGCGTGCGCCTTTGACAGTGAGGCTCGGCGTGTCCACGGGTCTCCTCGGAACAAACAGTCACGGCCATTGAGTCAATTCTGACCCCGAGCAACAGCCCCCAGGAGGGAGAAGAGCTGCCTCTGTGGCTTTCTGAAACTAACTCTTGCATGGAGTAAAGAGCCGCCTCGTTCTCCCTGAGAGGGTCTGATGGTTTCCCACCGCTGCCCTGGTCGTGCGCACACCCCGTAACCATCCGCCACCAGGGCACCAAGGCCCATCAGAGAGGACCTCAATTGGCTTCTCGCCCAAGCAATCACATGTTAAAGGCCCCGAGGGCGTTTTTCTACTAAAGGGCACACAATCTTGAGTCAGTCCTTTCACAGCTCAGTTTTCTCATCTGCAAAATGGTGATATTGACGGTTTCAACGTGTTGGGCAGTAGTGAGAGGTGCAGGCCTGAACTTCATTCACGTGAAGCACTTCGGGGAGGGCGGGCTGCCTGGCCATTAGCAATGGTCCAAAAGTCTCACCCGCATACGTGGACACGGATAACCTGAGTCCTTACAAATGGGGTAGAGTGAAAATTCTGCCCCCACATTCAGATTCTTGAACTGACTCGGGGGTGGGGGGCAGTGAGCATTCTCAGTCCTTCATGTTTGCGTTTGTACTGTGAGATATCTGTTCCCTCCCCAGGACTACACTTTGTTATATGAAGAAGCAAAATACTTTCAGCTTCAGCCAATGTTGTTGGAGATGGAAAGATGGAAGCAGGACAGAGAAACGGGCCGCTTTTCCAGGCCCTGTGAGTGCCTCGTGGTGCGCGTAGCCCCCGACCTCGGCGAGAGGATCGCGCTCAGCGGCGACAAGTCCTTGATAGAAGAAGTGTTCCCCGAGATCGGCGACGTGATGTGCAACTCGGTCAACGCCGGCTGGAACCACGACTCGACGCACGTCATCAGATTCCCACTGAACGGATACTGTCACCTCAACTCAGTCCAGGTAGAGAGCTGGCCGTCTTAATCCTTGACCTTGCCTTCCTTCGCCCAGTGCCTTTCTGCCAAAGAGCCGGCAGTGTCTCAAGAATTGAGGTTTCTGCGGGGCACCCGCCCTACGCTACCCCGCCCCCCGTGGCACCCACTCACTTTGTCCACACGTACAAATTGCACCCCTACTGTGTGCCAGGTTCTGGTATTGGGTATACAGACCAGAGCCACCACTGTTTTCATGGAACATAATGGGGGGAGGGGGGGAGACGGAGCACACAGAGGGCGGCATGAATGTTTTCCAGGAAGTGAGAGGAGACTTCTCTGGGGCGGGTCCCTCCGGCAGAGGGACTAGCAGTGCTGAAGACCATGAGGTGGGAGCATGCTCTGCCTATTAGGACTATCAAGGAAGACACATAGCTATTTGAAGTTAACAGAATAAGAGTACCACCCCCCGGCCCCCATCTTTTTTAATTGAAGTGGACCCATGATCCCATTCAATATTTTGCCAGCAAAACCTGCCCAGGGCCCAGAGCTGAGCAAGCACCCATACTACCATTCTGCCTCGTGACTGCTTGAAATAACTCTGCACGTGGGTGGACAGCTAACTAGGTGCAGATCAGCAGGCGACTGGCAGAAAAGAGCACCCGCCTCCATCGTGCTAGTGGCAGGCACCCACCCTCACACAAGTGGGGGCCTGGCTTTGAGTTGCGCAGACCCAGGGGGCCCATGTGCTTGCTTCACTGAGTACCTGGTGCCCCTAAGGTTGTGCGCAGCAAAGCTCCTGGGTGGCCCTGGGCAGTGAGTGCACTGGGTGGGGCCTGTAAGGCACTGAAAGCCTCTCCTCTCCCCACACATACCCTTACCCTGGCTTTCTTCCAGAGAGGGAGGGGCCGGGCGTTCGGAGCCAGGGCGGCATTTAATCATTCCTCTAGGGCCCCACCCCACAGGCCTGTGGGTAACTCTCATAGATGGGTGTGATTGACACACTCCCTGGATGCTTTGAGTAGGATCAGATGTAGACATTGCATCATCGGGGTAACTGGAGCGACACGGCCGTGGCCCACGCTCCCTGCTCCCCTGACTATGCAGCGAATTAACTGCTGGCTCAGCGGTTCTCAACCTGTGGGTTGCGACCCCTTTGGGGGGGTCGAATGACCCTTTCACAGGGGTCTCCTGATTCATGACAGTGGCAAAATTACAGTTATGAAGTAGCAACGAAAAATTTTTTTTGATCTATAAATTATTTTGTCATGTCTTACACCGTCCGAGGTCTCCTTTCACCCATGTTTCTGTTGTCTGTCCCCCAGGGAGGAGGTTATATGTAGATCCTTGTAATCAGTTCCCCCTTTCTACCCCACCTTCCCGCCATCCTCCCGGTATCGCCATTCTCTGGTCCTGAGGGATTTATCTGTACCAGCATACATCCTCTGTTCTAGCCAGATTTGTAAGGTAGAATTGGGATCATGATAGTGGGCCGAGGGGGTGGGGGGGGCACATTTAGGAACTAGAGGAAAATTATATGTTTCGTCATTGCTACACTGCACCCTGACTAGCTCGTCTCCTCCCTGAGACCCTTCTGTAAGGGGATGTCCAGTTGCCTACAGATGGGCTTTGGGTCTCCACTCTGCACTCCCCCTCACTCACAACGATAAGATTTTCTGTTCTTTGATGTCTGATACCTGATCCCTTCGACACCTCATGATCACACAGGCTGGTGTGTTTCTCCCATGTGGGCTTTGTTGCTTCTCAGCCAGATGGCCCCAGATGCTTTATCTTTTGATAGCTGGACACCATCAGCTTTCTTCACCACATTTGCTTATGCACCCACTTTGTCTTCAGTGATCATATAGGGAAGGTGAGAATCATGGAATGCCAACAATAAAAATAATTTTATACTTGGGGGTCACCACCACATGAAGAACTATATTAAGGGGTCATGGCATTAGGAAGGTTGAGGACCACTGTGCTAGTTGGATGGACATGGGACCACAACATCAGCTATGCGTTGCCACATGGAGCTGCTTTAACTCAACGATCACTACATTGAAGCGTCTTGCAGTGGCCAAGGCGGTATTTGCCAAGAGGCTTATGCTGTTGGCAGTGCACTGGAATACGCATTGGCCACATGTAAGGTAACAGCGGATTGGATCTGATTGGATCGGTATCATATTATGTGTGCCGGACCCCTTGTGGAGGAAGAGGTGTAGGGAAGGCCTAGATTAGCTACCACCACAATGGAAGGAAAGGAGAGTGGTCGGAGTTAGGTTCTTTGTATTTCTGAGTCACGGCCAGGAAGCCTTGCCAGTGCAGTGGTAGGTGCAAGCAAACTGGGCTGTTGATGCTGCCAGGGGAAGGTCCGCCTCTGCTGGGGAGTTCTCCTTGCGGCCAGCTGTCCTTCACCTTGTTGACATGCCACCAGAGTACACCTTGATTTGAAACTCAGGTGGGTTTTTTCAGTTCTCTCTGCATGCTGACTGGTTTAGTTGTGTGTGCTGAATGTAGTGACAGATCGAGCACAGCCATGCAGGCTGTTTACTTTCTCAGAGGACGCGTTCTTGTTTTGGGGGCATTTACATTTTTTCAGCTTTTTTTTTTTTAAACCTTTCAGGCTTTTTGGCACATAGACTTTCGTGCTTCCCAGTCTCATCTAGTAAGCTGATGAGACTGGTTAGTAGGCTGCATAGGAGATTTCCAGCTTAGTCAATTATACTCCCTGTAACAGTAATTGTAGATTATGCTCCATATAACAGTTGTGGATTATACTCCATATAAACGTCATTGCACAAAGCCCACGTGGAAGAAGCACACCAGACGGTGTGGTCATGAGGTGTCGATGGGATCAGGTATCAGGCATCAAAGACCCAGAACAATCATATTGATGTGAACGAGGTGGGGGTCATGGAGTGGAGACCCAAAGCCCATCTGTAGACAATTGGACATCCCCTCACAGAAGGGTCACAAGAAGGGAAGAGCCAGCCAGGGTAAAGTATAGCACCAATTAAACATACAACTTTCCTCTAGTTCCTTAATTTTCCCCGCCCCACTATCATGACCCCAGTTCTATCTTACAAACCCGGCTAGACCAGATCAGGTACACTGGTACAAATAAGAGCTCTTGACATATGGAATCCAGGACAGATAAACCCCTCAGGAACAATAATGAGAGTAATGATTCCTTGAGGGTATGGGGAAGGTGGGGGGAGAAAGGGGGAACTGATCACAATGCTCAACATATAACTGCCACTCCCCCAGAAAGACAAACAACAGAAACATGGATGAAAGAAGATAGCAGTCGTTGTAAGATATGAAAATAATTTCTAAATTATCAAGGGTGAGAGTGGGGAGGGAGAAAAAAATGAGGAGCTGATGCCAATGGCTCAAGTAGAAAGAACATGTTTTGAAAAGGATGATGGCAAAATATGTACAAATGTGCTTGACACAATGGATGGATGGATGGTTATAAGAACTGTAAGAGCCCCCAATAAAATTTTTGTAAAAAATAAATAAAAGTCATTGTAGATTATACTCCATATAAAAGTAGATGATGAAATACCAAAGGGTCCCCCTTCGTTCGTGACTACACTGTGAAAGTGATGTGTCAATGTTACATTTCATGACCCACAGAGAAATGATGCCAACCCTTTTATTTAAGTTGGAATTGAGTCATCTTGCTTTTGGAATACGGCGGAGAGAAGGGGGAGAGTAATTTCATTATATTCAAAGTCCTGGCAGGAACATTTGCAAGCCTAGTATTTGTTAAATTCCGAAAAGAATGTTCTAGATTGGTATTTTTGCCTAAAGGGTTGCAAAACAGAACTCTGCCAATGCAGTGGCCTATGTGCTGGGCTGCTAACCACAAGGTCAGTGGTTCAAATCTACCAGCCGCTCCTCAGGAGCAAGATGAGCCTGGTTGTCTATGTAAAGCTTTACAGCCTCCGAAACCCCACGGGGCAATGAATTAAGGATGGCAGGAACTATTTACTGCATTTAAGAAGTCAGGAATGGAGTGAGCAATTCAGGAACCTTGTTGGCATTAGGCATTGAATTTCAGCATTAACAGAACAGATTATGTGGCTTGCGTCTGTAGGAGAAGCTTGAAGCTAGCTCTTTGGGATCATTTTCTAACGCACAGCCATTGCATTTATTCCTGCCTCTCTGTCCACACAACTAGGCAATACATCAATTTCACGTGCCACAGACTTGCAGACCTATAGGTCAGTCTCAGCAGGCTTTAGCAGTCCGTTTTTGCCACTGTTAAAGGTGTGTGAATCTCCGAAGATGTAGTCAGTGTTGAGAAACTGAGCAGTGGCAGGGCTGACAGTACAAACGCAGCACTAGCGAAGCAAGTTCAAGCAATATTGTTCGTCCATAGCCTTCCTCATCTCATTGAGCCTAGTGCCTATTGCGGTAAATGGGCTCTGGAATGTGAACCCTCTCCTCGGAGAGAAGTTATGGCTGCGTACTGGAAGAAAACCAAAACACGTGGGCTGCGGGACCAAACCCTAAAACACCCCTGCGTTGGTAACCCAATTCTGTGGCTCCGTGGCCAGGAGTATCCATGTTCTCCCTTCTCAAGTGGTGCCAGGCATGTCTCCGCAAGCACAGAGTGGCAGGTCTCAGTATTAGAAGCACGGGGGGCTCCCCCCTGGTTGCCATTGCCCCACCTCCCAATCACGGCCACCCCACGTGTGTCAGAGGAGAACCAAGCTCCCTCAGGTTTCCAACGCCTGGTTTTGCAGAAGCAGATCCCCCCGACCCCCACCTCTGAGGCCACTCTGAGTGGACTCCAACTTCAGCTGGTTCGGGCAGCAGCCAAATGGGTTCACTCTTTGTACCTGGCAATTCTGGCCCCCTCCCTACTGCCCCGTAATCCAGGGTCACCCTCTGAGAGACACTCGCCGAGACTCGAGGACTGGAGGAGACTGGCCAGAGCTGCCAGTGATCGGCTGCCTCTGCTCCAGACCAGTGGGGTGTGGGTGTGGCCTCGTGGCCAAGGGGGCCGAGCTCCTTCTTAACTGGACGCCTTTCTTGCCTCTGGCAGGTCCTGGAGAGGCTGCAGCACCGAGGCTTTGAAATCGTGGGCTCCTGCGGGGGAGGAGTGGACTCGTCCCAGTTCAGCGAATACATCCTGCGACGGGAACTGAGACGGACAGCCCGTGTCTCCTCCGTCATCCGGATAAAGCAGGAGCCGCTGGACTGAGTGGACATGTTTCTTAGGCAAACACAGCAACAACAACACAAAAACATACACAAGAATTCATGCAAACGAACAAGGGACATTTCTGTGCAGTTGGGTCAGCAAACCAAGTCCTGGACGTCACATTGAATAAAAGACACATTTCTATCGAATAGAGACCACACCTGTATTCATACGGGAACAATTGGAATAGCGCTATCCTCGAGGTGTAAAAAATATATAAATATCTATATATGTCAAAAGGTAGGAAATGCAAACAAGAAGGGTGGTGGCTACAGTCGGTGCTGTGATGGCCGTGAAGGGTCCTAGGCCCCTGGGGCCTGCTGACCAGTAAACAAGCCATGACCGGTGAGGACACATCTCCTGACAGTCCCCAGTGTCAAACAGCCATCCTGGGTTCCGTTTTCCTTTTCTTTCTTCTAGCCTTTTTTTTTTAATGGAAAAAATAAAACCACCCCACCTTGACTGGCATTGCTTTGCATCTCAAGATTTTCTGTCTGTCTTCAGACAGGGGCCTGGCAGACTTCAGGACAACTCCGCTGAGCACATTGCATTTGAAAGATGTTAGCCATGAAATTTTAACTGTAGTTTATACAGAAGTCACGCACTCGTTTGTCTGCCTCCCGGATGTGAACATGACTGTTTTTAAACCGATCGGTTTTGCAAAGGGGCCAGAATTATTACTTGTTAGAGTTGCTCCAAGTTTGAGTCTGCTGCTTTCCTACAATTTTTCAAATTTTATAATGTATTAAATACAATAAACTCTGTTTAAAAAATAAGGTCTGCGTGAAACACGCGTGTTGGGGGGAGGCTGGATCTGAGCAGAAAAAGGTGATTTGAACTTCCTTTGCCAAGCGAGCATCCAAAGAGAGGCTCCAGTGGAGGCGCTCCCCCATGCTGACGTCACAGCCCCTCCCTCGGGGACAAGGACGTTGCCGGCAGTCCTCCCCCAGCCCAGCCAACTACGTTCCCTCGACGGAGTTCTTTCACGTGGGTTAGTGAGACAAAGCTTTCTTCTTGTGAACGTGGCATTTGTACCTGTGGCTGGTTTGCAACCTGGCCCAAACGTAGTGGCTTCAAACAACATTTCAGTCTCACGTGTGACTGTGCTTCCTGGGAGTGAAGCCACGATTCGTGGGCTGAGGGTTTGGGATGGCACAATGACATGGCCAGCTGGTGGCCTCTCCAGGTAGCTGGGCCCCTTGCAGTATGGTAGCTAGGTTCTAAAAGGGAGTACCCCAAAGGCCCGTGTCCCCAAGGGAGAAAGCAGAAGCTCTGGTCCAAGAGGCCCTAGATGAACTGCATGGTGCCCTCCCACTACATTCCATGGGCTGCGTAGACAGGAGGCCAGCCCAGATTCAGGGGGTGGAAAAGCCCACTGTGAATAAGTCAATTCCAACGCGTAGCAACTCCGTGTGTTATAGGGTGAAACTGCTCCACAGAATGGCCTTATCCATAATCTTTAAGATGGCAAACTGCCAGCCTTTTTTCCACAACAGGAGTAGGTGAGGTTAAATCAGCCAGCAAGGTATAAGTTCAGAGAGGAACATCAACTGTTTGCCCTACCCAGGCCCCTCGGGATTCAAAGGACGGGGAAGTAAAAGCCCCCCCTTGTGGAGGAAAGCGACAAAGGCTGTGTGGCAAGTTTGGGTCGACAATACCATCTGCCAAAGAGACCTGCGCAGTGGGGAGAAGCAGGGGACATTTTTGGGACACCTGAGACTTCCACATCGCGTTAGAGTTAGCCCTCACTCATCCCAGTTACGGTGCCCTGGCGCTATGACGGGTTACACACGGTGCTATTCGATCACGAGATTGGCGGTTCGAAACCACCCTCAGGGAAAGGTCGACTTTCTATCACCTTAGATTGGCAACTGTTAGAAACGCACAGCGGCAGTTCTGGCATCCTATAGGACCAGTATGAGCCCCAACTGATGGCAGTGAGTTTGACTTTGGAGTTTTTTCCAAGTTCTTGAGATGCTAGCTCCCTGAACTGCCCCTGTGGCTGTGTGGCATTGCACCAACTCCCACTCAAAGCAGAGTGGAAAAGAGCCGCCCCATAGGGCTTCCTAGGCTGCATCTTCACAGGTGCACATCAGGCCTCTTGCCTTTCAGGAGCCCCAGTGGTGTGGTGGTTACACATTGGCCTGCTAACCTGCAAGATATGCAGTTCAAAGCCACCAGCCACCCCACAGGAGAATGAGGAGGCTGTCTACTCCCATAAAAAGTTACCGTCTCAGAAACCCACAGGGACAGTTCTACCCTAAGGGGTGGGTTAGATTAGGGACCTACTGCTTAACCCCTGCACCACCAAGGCTCCTTCCAAATTGCCCTACCCTCACCTTTCTTCCCTAGGTGGTCTTCCTCCTTCCAGACACTCCAGATCAAACCAACGTACTGAGAAGACTGACAGGGAAACTAGAATCTTCCTGCTGCAGAGAGCTGCCTGTGGTGGTAGGCTATTTCCATCTGCAACCATTTTTTTTTTTATTAAAAATAGTCTGTGCCTGAAGACACTAGTAATGAAAATATATCTGGCTTCTGAAACCAAAAGTAGCCTGCTAATGGCTCCCATCACTTCCTGAAATGCAGACACCGCCCAAACGCTGGGTTGCTGTAATGACGCCGAGCCAGGTTACCACATTGTTGTCTAATTTTCCCGATTTGAGGCTGAGACCCCACCATCTCGCCCGGGCACGGTCAGCTGCTCTGTCACCCACTGAAGGGAGAGTATAGTTGCTCTAGGATTTTACCAAGTATCCCTCCTCATTATGTGAACTTTCCTGAAATCAAGAAAGCCAGGGTTGTACTTTGGGACATACTGCTGTTTAGTATCTTCAGCTAACATTCACCCCAAACTTCCAATGAGCACTTCGTATTCCCCCAACCAAATGCTCCACTGAAGGGGGTTTGTTCACTATCGGCACCCACTTTGTTCGCCCACCTCCGCCCAATTGCACATCCCTCTACAGAGTGCCATATCCAATTCGACAGAGCAAACATCACACCATATTAAGGCAAGAATATAAATGGATTGAGCCTTATTTAATAGACAGTTTGTAAATCAGGGTAGCCAATTGATGAAGGAGTCTGAAGACGAATGAATGTCCAAAGATTTTTATATTGCGTGTTAAAACGGGGCCATGGAAACGGGGCCAAAGTGTTTGCATCATCATCTAGCCGACAGCACAACTTCTAGTGGTACCAGGGAGTTGCTGTTGCTTAAATGGGACTGCACATACAAAGTTCTTCCAACAAGCACGATGCCTACAGCATCGTTACCAGGCGATTGTTTGTCTGACTGTTGACATTAGGAAATCGCTTTTTCAAGGCTCAAAAGAGCTCAGCGTGATGGGTCACCAGGCCCATAAGGATCTCAGAAATCTGTGTTCCAGAAGTAAAGCTGCGTCTCACTTAAAATTCTCAAGGGTTTATTATTTAGGTCTTAGCAACAGGAGCACTGGTGGCATCCTGGGTTTCATGTTGGGCCATAAGAGCACCAGTTCAAAACCACCAGCCACTCCTTCAGAGAAAGGCCAGGCTTCCTACTACTCTAAAGATCGACAGTCTTGGCGTCCCACAGGGCCGGCTCCAGCTTGTCCTGTGAGATTGCTATCAGTCCGTGCAGGTGATGGCAGTGAGTTTGAACTTTTTGAGGTACCTCTGGAAAGAGCTGGTGACCAAAATATAATTAGGTCACAGTCATTTTTTTGTCTAATTTCTAATCAATAGTGATGTGAGGTCAAAAGTACTCTGCTACAAAAGCATAAAAAAACTTGATTAGACAAAAATATCCAAATGTGAACCTGTTGTTCCTTGACATCCTCCAGCTAGTTGCATACACTTCTGAAAGTGGTGTTTCCGTCTGCCTAATGAATTCAGCATTCTTCAATTTATTATTTATTCAGCACATTAATTGTCATGATCTAAACCCATCCCTCGGTGCAACTTTCCTGGTCGTTTTCTCACCAAGGCCATTTTCCTAACACTTCTTCCTAATAAGCCCCTGTAATTGTCCTGTCTTGAGAAAACCTAGCAGGATCTCCCCCTTTCGAATACCAAGACACCACCACCTTCTGGGCCGACTTGTCTGGATGCCGGTAGCCTGGCAGGTCCCCTCAGAAGTCACTGTTTTAGTTCCTTTTTTTGTTGAAGACACTAAGAGACAGACACGTGTATCCCTGGGAGAGCTTGTCTGCAGCCAGCCTCTGATCACAGGAACATGTTTAAGGACATCCTGCTCAGAATGAGCTGGGGTCCTAGTAGCAGCCCTTCACTGACCCTCCTCGCATTCGTATTCAAATCTTTCTAATCGTCCTCATCATTTTCATTGTTCATCCCCCCCCCCCACCAGCAGAGGATCTGACCAAGGATTAGGTGCTGCATTTAGTAATACCTTTAGTGTTTCAGCCGCTGTTAGGTTGGCCCTCACTCATAGGATACCTTGCATGACTGGGTACGACCATGATCATCCATAGTTTGGAGTTTTACTGCAATATTAATTTTATTATGCACATACTACATGCATTCTGCAAAGTCTCCATATAGTTTTAACTCTTATTTTTCAGAATTGGGTCTCTAAGTCTTTATTCTTAGTCCATCTTAGAAGGTACCCTGACATCTGTTTAGCACCCCACCAGCCTCCCCTGAGGGGCTGGCGGGGGGGTGGGGGGGGGTGTGACTGTTCATGGGACGCTTTGGCTGGAAATCGAACCTGTGTCTCCAGGATGGATGATGCCAATTCTACCGCTGAACCGCCAAGGCCGTATCTCTTCAGCTTTACAAGGTCTTCCCACGGCCTTTTTGTTCCACGTGTTTTGCTTCATTTCCTTGTCTCTCATGACACTGGCGTACTTGACAGTCCAGCTAAATGTTGGCTAGATTATTGGCTAGATCTGTCTGATTGCTCCTTCAGTAGGATTGGCTTTTTGTTGCTTTTGGTTTTTCATGAACACTACGAAAGTGATGTCATGCCATTCCCATTGCCTCATCACATTATGCCATGCAGAAGGGCACCGTGGCCCATATTGGTGATGGTCTTGTGGACTGGTCGTGGAAGGGAGGCCACCAAATGTCTCCGGTTAACAGTAGCCTTTTGTAATTCCCAGTAGCCCGTGAGTTGACATGGTGAAGCTGGGTAAATATTCTGCTCTCGGCACATTCTGACTCAAGCGTTTTAACATTAGGAATCTTCCAGAATCAATCATTGCGCTGGTGGTCAGGAAAGGATGAGTTTTCAAAAAGCTATGATTGCCTGGACCAGTGGTATTTGAAATTATGTTATGTTCTTTCTTTCTTTATTTTTTAAGCAAAGTAAATTCCTTTAGTCCAGGGCAATCCTTGACCTGTGCTTTTTTCCTAAAAAGTATTTCAGAAAAATAAAACGAAGTAAGTCACTTCTAATATTGGTGGAGTCGTAGATAATAACAGCCATCCAGTGAGTGTTTGTCGGTCACCATCCACTGATCGCAGGCACCCGTTTAAACACATTCTGCTTGGAATAAATAAACTCTGCAAGTGCGTCCTGGGATCAGACATCAGCACTGCAATGTCACTCACCTGTGACCCCACCAGGGGTACGGAGCACAGCCATTTTTCAATCCCCAAACCAATGCTCAGTGTCAGCAGTAAAGCGTCATAGGGGACCCCAAGACCAACTGTTTGAGAAAAGGTGCATTTTCGTGACACGAGGATGGGGAAGAAAGGATTTTCTCCTGAAAATGATGGTGGTTTCCTGTATGTAAGTATTTGGGGTATCTGTTGGGCACTAGACTTAGTT